TTTCAAGCCTCCTGGGCCAGGATTTGAACCACAGTCAGTCATGTGTGATTTGGCTCCCTACACACACCATTTAATGGCCGTCCTAAGGGGCTGGCCCCACATACAGTTGTAATTTTAAATACACTCATCCCTTGGTGTCCATGGGGAAATGGTTCCAAGACCAAAATCTGAGAATGTTGGTCTTACATCAAATGTTCTCATGGGGCCAGCAGTTGGCGTGGTGGTTAAAGTGCTGGATTCCCACGTGGTTGACAGCAGTTCAAGCCCCAGACCTGGTAGCTTGAAAATCACATCTGGCATGTATGTGTATGTGCCCACAATCCTGAGAGGAGAATGGAGAAGGGATCGTGGCATGTCCGTCCCTTGCAGGGGAGGACAGGGGCTTTCACTCTCTTTGTCTCTCTGTGTCTCTTTCCAGCACCACATATGCCCTCTGGCAAAGAAAAGTCCTTGTATTTGCAACTAGCCTACACACAGCCTATATTCGTTAATCATCTCTCATCTCTAGACCATTTGTAATATATAATACCATGCAAATGCTTCGCCAATAGTTGCTATGCTCTATTGTTTAGGGAATAATGACAGGGGAAAAAACTCAGTGCGTGCTCGGTACAGATGCCACGACAGAGGCCTGCCTCCATGGGACTCACCAGCAACAAGGGTCATTTCTCCCCTGCAGCTGGTTCAATTCTCAGATGTAGAACTTTCCATTCCAGCAGGGCTGGCCCTACATAAAACTGTTCAGAAAGAAGTAAAGGAAGTCTGTAGAGGCGAAGTCCTTCAGGCCACCATGCGCAAAAAATATTTGCGATCACTTTCATGTGTTTTAAATTCAGACAAGAGGACAGTATGTGAAACTGATTTTATTGTGAAACACTACATATAAAATTAGTTTAACTGACAGATCTAAATTGGGGAAGACTAAAGAGATCACGTAAAACAAAAGCTGGCAACCACTTCTTAGACGTGTCTCATCTCCGATGGGAGATTTTGGCCATGGCCATCATTTGCTATGGCTGGAAAACATTCTTGATAGTTGACATTAACAGTAAGAAAGAGAAAGTGGAAAGGTAAGAAATACTTTAACAACGAATCCGTACTAACGTGCGGGTGCTTAGAAAGAAAGTAGTTAGCAGAGCCAATCAGGAGCGCACAACGTACACAGTTACCAAGTTAACTGACTCTGCAGGAAGACTTCGGGCAGGAGAGGAGGGTGTGGACTCCCGGACACCCCACCAGGAGCTGCTGATGAGTCAGACCCAAGGACTTGGCTGAAGTCTGACCCTTCCTTGCCATCTGCTCTCTGCCCTCACAGTTGTAGCCCTTACTTGACAACCTTAGCTCGCTTCTCAGCAGGTCCCTTGTCCTTGTTGCCTTTGGTCCCCATGCCTCCTCCGCACTCTTTTTTTTAAAGAGGTTTTTGCTATAGGGCATGTGCACTCGCCAGAAAGATAGAGAAAGACAGAGAGACAGCAAGCGAGAAATCACCCCCCAGGGAGGATGGCCACGCAGCAATCCCTTCTCCTCCATTCTCCTCTCGGGATCTTGGGCACACATGCACATACGCCCAGCGTGAGTTTAAGCCACCGGCTCTGGGACTCAAACCGCGGTCGACCACATGGGAGTCCAGCGACATGGCCATTACGCTAACTGCTGGTCCCAACCTCCTCCATACTCTTGACAGTTACCCTTCTGATCCCCAGTCTTCACTGTCTGCTCATAAAGTCCATACTTACTGGTCTACCCAAAGCACACACCTGACATCTGCTCTCCTTCTCCGACATCTCTGCTCACCGCCCGTGCTCTGTGCTAGCCCGAGTCACTTGCATTCGCCTGAACACCCTGCGTGGTTTCGTGCTGTCAGTCAACAAACAGCAGAGCTTGTCACAGTCCATACCAGGCATGTGGCAGGTAGTTTTCACACACTGGCTCATGCTGTCCCCAGTGCGTAGAACATCTTGCCCAGCATCTCCCCTGGAAGACAGACACTCATGACTCAAATCTCCGCCCATGGTCCCTGGAAGGCTGTCTTTCTCAGTTAAAACCAACCATTCGTCTTTCTGTGCTTTCCGTCGACTCCACAAAGTCGTAGTCCGGTGATGTCTGTTAGGCTCTGTGCTTTGAGGAAAAGGTCCACGTTTCGTTTGGCTTTTCATCCCCAGCATCGGCCTGTAACTGCACTTGTGTTCACTCGTCTTAGCCCCAGCTGGTCCTGTTAGGCCTTCATTGACGGCAAAGAACAAAACCAGCAACAGAAAGCTTCGCCAGACACCACCTGGTTCTCGTTTTAGGGGTTAGGCTAGATGTACACAAATACAAGGGATCTGTAGGATCAGGACCCATCTCGGCTGATGAGGCCCAGAGAAACGTGCACACTGCCTCCAGGTGGGGACACAGTCATGCCACAGGGTTTCTGCCCTAACCGGTCAGGGACACGTGCTTCTCTGTCTACCTTCGGCACCTCGTCAAACTGAGCACAACGAAATAAACAAAAACCTTTGTTTTCACCTACGAAGTTCAGCAAACCTAGTGTTGTGAAATAAAGCCTTCCTTCCAGGTCCCTCTTCTGTGAGCAGTGGGGCACGTCACATGATGAGATGACCCCGTGCAGTTTCTCAGCTTCATGCCAGCACTGGCTCCTCCAGAGTTCTCGGACCCTCAAGCAGCCTATTTGCTTCTCCCGCTGTTTCCAACTCCACTCCATGGTAGGTAGTTTAAAAAGAATACTAATTTGAGACGTTGACATTGCAACAGGTCAGTGTCTGGCATGTAATGAGCCCTCAAATGAATGATGAAAGGAATCCTGCTTTAATGATCTAGTTAGTCAAGACTGATGATGTTAATTCTGACCTCAGGAACTTCTTCAGCATTTAAGGAGGGGTCATTATCTAAACATTTCATTTCAGGCCGTGGTTTTGTGGCCTGTAATACTAAAACTTGCCCCAAAATGTGTTACTTAATTATAAGAACACTATGTCTTTAAGAAATTAATTTATTGGAACAATTGCTACAAGGGGAACAAGTGAAAAACCACCAGCACAATGATTCTCCTAGTGGTCACTTTGATGTAGACCCATGTAAGACAACAGCGAGCAACTGGACAGGCCCACAGAACAGCCAGGTTCTCTGGTGCTGTCATTTAACACTAACTATTTAAAACATGCAAATAACTAAACGTACATTTTAATTATTACTAAACTCCAGCTAAATGTGTTGGGGGTCAATGAGCAGTGATCAGACATCAGTTATACTAGATCTGCTCTGTGACTTGTTCTCCTGGGATCCCTGATTGACCCCTTCCCCATGCTACTCATAAAGTGAGTATTTTGTGGTTATTGATCGTTAAAAATGAAGTTTTAGAGACCAGCAATTGGTGTAATGGCTATGTTCCTGGACTCCCATGGAGTTGACTATGGTTTGAGTCCCAGACCCAGTGGCTTAAATTCATGCCAGGCACATGTGCATGTGTGCCCAAGATCCCAAAAGGAGAATGGAGGAGAAGGGACTGTGGCATGGCCATCCCCCAAGGGGGGTGATTCCTCGCTTTCTGTTTGTCTCTGTCTTTCTGGCAAGTGCACGTGCCCTATAGCAAAAACGTTCCTCCCCCCCCCCCAAAAATGGAGTTTTAATACTTGAAATGCAAGTCTAGCTTGTGACCAAATTTCTAGAATTTCAAAGTTGCACAAAGGTATCTGAAAGCATCTTAGGTCTTTAGAGGTTTTTGCCTTAAGGCATGTGTGCTCCTCAGAGAGACAGACAGAGACAGTGACAGTGAGACAGTGAGAAATCACCCCCCGGGGGGATGGCAATGCCACAATCCTTTCTCCTCCATTTTTCTCCTGGGATCTGGGGCATGCATGCACACATGCCCAGTGTGATTTTCAAACCACCGGGTCCGGGACTCGTAATGCAGTCAGACACATAGGGACATAACCCCTCACCATCTGCTGGCCTGAAAGAAAGCATGTTTTAACACTGCTCCATCTCAGCTCTGATGCCGTAACGGCCTCTGATCATCAGTGACAATACTGGGACACCTGATGTCTGACTGTCGCCTCTTTTGGATCGACCTGTTTGGGTTTTATGTCCGTGCTAGGTCCATGGCAGGCAGTTTTCACATGCTCAGTCATGCTGTGGCTTCCGTGAACTTCCACGAGTGAACGGAGAAATGGAGAACACGGCTGGAAAACAAATCTGAGGGTTTTAAAAAATTATAGAGCACATTAGGCAGTGCTTTAAAAGACAACCCATCCAGTGACATAGATGCAAATGACACTGCAGATTCCAGGGCACAGAACATAGATTCATCTCCACAGATGCTCTGTGGTAACTGCAGGGGTGGATAATAAAGCAATTAGTAACAGCCTTGTCTTGGGGCCAGCAGACGGCGTAGTGGCTACATCGCCGGACTCCCAGGTAGTCAACCACGGTTCAAGTCTCAGACCCAGAGGCTTGAAACACGCCAGGCACATGTGTGTACATGTCCAAAATGCCAAGAGGAGGATAGAGGAGAAGGGACTGTGGCGTGGCCATTCTCCCAGGGGGTGATTCCTCGATTTCTGTTTCTCTATCTCTCTGTCTCCCCAGCACTCATGCATCCTACAGCAAGAATCTCTCTCAAAACAAAACAAAACAAAAAAAACACTATCTTTCAGCCTTTATGTGGCTATCTGTATACTTACTTCACACACAGACCCCAAATATCCAAATTACTTGACCCTATATCCATTTACCTCTCAGAGCGATGGCACATAAAAGGAAAAAAAAAAAAAAAAGACTGAATACAGGCTTCCTCAAACCCAATCGAACTGTTCCAATGGTGCTATAATAGCTACTTCTACAGGAAAACACAGAGTTTTATACTTTCCGGTCAGTTTCTCAATAAATCTGAACTTGGCCAATATTGGTTTCAAGTAATAAAAACAAAACACTCTTGACTTATTCGCGATTATACACACTACATGGGGAAAAAAAAAAAAAGATGGTAAGTTTGGTTATTTATTTATTTATTTATTGCCAATCATCAAACATGTTTTCATCGGAATGAGGGAAATTCTTTCAATTTCATATAAAATTTTCAGTGAAAACAGAATACATTTACAAACTAGTTAGTTATCTCAGTCCATAGGAATTCCAATCTTGAAATCCAGGCCTACCGGGACAATGATTACAGGAGAAAATACAACACAAGTACTCTCCCGTGGCCGTCATCGGAGGGGCCGATTTGCTTGTACTGCTGGACTCTTACACAAAGTGTCCCGGTTCCAAGATTTGGAAGGCGCTTCCAAGTGGCACTGCCTGAGAGGAATCAGAAAGCCTTTGTTCCTGGGCTTACATGGTAAGCACTTGGCGTGATTCTTAATCACATTTTTATCCAGAACACAGTGTTACAGGTCACATGTTTGTCAACAATGCTAATACGGATTTGTGCTCTATAAATATAAACATGTTTACACACAGAATACATACGCTGACACGGTGAGAGGAGGTCAGCCAGCCATCCACAAACAGAATGGGATAAAAATCGCAGGAAGGGTAGTGTAGGGTGCCAGGCCCAGGCAGGCGATGGACGCCAGTCCCAGGACTGCTGAGGCAAGGACGCTTCTTTGATCCCGAATAATTATCTTCACATTCTCACAAAACTGGAATAGGAAATTTAAGAATATTAGAAAACAATGGCTAAGAAGAACCACACAGGACGAAGGGTAAAAAAACAGTTTTTCCGGCCATTCTCTGTCTAACAGAAGAATCTGAAGTTCTCTTTCGACTTTTTGAAAAAATTTAAGATGTTGACAGTTCAGCTTTTAGATTCCATATTCCATAAGAGCTGAAATGATAATGTAGGCAACCAGGTAAATAACGGCAGTTGGTTCGGCAAGGACGGAATGTTCTAGAAAACTATAGAGAATGTAACCGCATAAAAATTATCCTCAAAGGTCAAAAACATTAAACTATTTACCAATAACAATAGCATATTCTAATACTAGAAAAGTTTTTTTAAAAAAAGAACAAATATAGTCTATTATTACTGACAAAGTCAATTCTTCCAATGAATCATTCTAAAATCTGCTGATATCAATGATACCTTTCTTAATAAGTTTTAAAATCTAAAGACACAAGAAGTCTAATTTTGTTGTCATATTCCATTGTTCACCTAAATAAAATTCCTCAATTACATTGCCGATAATTGACCGCTGGAAATAAAGCTAAATTAAATATGGTCTCTATTGGTGAGGAAAACATTCTTCTAAAATGCGTGATTCTTTTCTTAGGAAAATCACTTTACTCAGTGGAGACAGTCTATTTTTGGATCCTGGCCCCACATCTTATTGGCTATGAGATCTAAAGATTTTAGAATCTTGGGACCAACATTAGCATAATAGCTATGTTGCTGGACTCCCATGCAGTTGACCGCAGTTTGAGTCCCGGACCCAATGGCTTAAACTCACGCCAGGCGCATGTGCGTGCGTGCCCAAAATCCTGAGAGGAGAAAAGAAGAGAAGGGATTGCAGCATGGCCATCCCCCCTGGGGGGTGATTTCTCGCTTTCTGTCTCTCTGTCTCTGTCTTTCTGGTGAGAGCAAGTGCTCTATAACAAAAACCTCTCCAAAAAAGATTTTAGGGTGGCTTTATACAGTACTGGACAGCTAGATTTCTAAATTCTTAATAGAATGAACAAGTTTCTTATTTTTTATTTTTTTAAAGAATTGTTTTTATTTAATTTTATTTATTAATTTATTTCATTTGACCAGAGAAAGAGAGAGAGAAAGAAAGAAAGAGAGAGAGAGAGAAAGAGAGAGAGAAAGTGGGAAAGCAAGCCACCAGGTCCGGGATTCGAACCATGGTCAGCCACGTGTGAGTGTCCCACGCCTTAACTTACATCACACCACCTATTGGTGCCACAAGTTTCTTATTTTTCACATACTTTCCTGACCATTCTTTGTTAAGATAGGGTTTTATACGTCAGTATATGACGTTTAATTTTATTTATTAATTTATTTCATTTGACCAGAGAAAGAGAGAGAGAAAGAAAGAAAGAGAGAGAGAGAGAAAGAGAGAGAGAAAGTGGGAAAGCAAGCCACCAGGTCCGGGATTCGAACCATGGTCAGCCACGTGTGAGTGTCCCACGCCTTAACTTACATCACACCACCTATTGGTGCCACAAGTTTCTTATTTTTCACATACTTTCCTGACCATTCTTTGTTAAGATAGGGTTTTATACGTCAGTATATGACGTTTCTTTCAATCCACACTTTTCCTTTTTTAAACCAGTAGTTCCCATCCTGTTAGTTATTCAGGTATTGGTCTATTCATACTCAAACATACAGTTTGTCTCTTTTTCCTAAAGTAAGAAGGCATTGAATAACAATGTATATAACTTAAAGTGGTGAGGATCAAATGAATGGAGTTGTTAGAATGTGAGAAATGGAATTTGGTAAGGAATGGAAGATACATATATTGAGGTAAATGAGTCAACCGTCTTGATATTGTTTTGCTTGTTTTATGTTTTTCCCCCATAAATCTTTTTTTAAAGAATTATTAATTTTAATTTTATTTGTTCATTCATTTCTTTTAATTTGATCAGAGAAAGACACGGGGAGTGGGGTGGGAGTATGAAAGCAAGCCACCAGGTCCGGGATTCAAACCATAGTCAGCCATGTGGGAGTGTCCAGCACTTAATCACCAAGCCATCTGCTGGCCCTCTCCCCTATAAATCTTATAACTAAGGCAAACCGAGCATCATTATGGACCTGACTTCCCCCGCTAGAGCAGATTTTCTCACGGAGAATCTCATTATCACGTGGCCATTGGTCCAGGAGGCATCTCTAGTGGTGTTCAGCACTGGGAAATTCCTTGAAACTGTCAAGAAGCTTGTAGAGATAATTTTGTGAGCACTGAGTCCCCAGAAAATAAAGGAGTATTTACATTCATTTATTTTGGCAATGAATACATGGTTTCTGCTACATAAGAAAGAAATCATAATAGAAAAAGCAAAAAGAATAAGAACAGTTACTAATGAGAGTTACAAAATACTGATAGCCAACGATATAAAAATCCCTTAATCCTTGTGCTTTCTAAACATTTAAAAAAAAAAAAAAAAAAGAAAGAAAGAACATCCCACAAAGAGGTAAAAGGTTTTTGGTTTTTTTTTTTTTTTTTTTTTTCCCCAATTCATTTTCAAACTCACTGTAGTGTTTTCCCAAGGGAAAGTGTTCCTCAGAAGTTTTATTAACTCAGATGTAAGGGACAGCTTGCAGCCCTCATGTTAAAGCTGGTAATAGCTGTATAGACAGGGAACTCAAGATGCAGACTCAGAAGTAAATCATTCCTTATGTTTTTCAAGAGGAGAAACCAGTCCCCCTTAGTTAGTAATGACCTACTTCTCTCAGGGCATGATCAAAACACAGTTGTTAGAATTAGAAAATTTGGGATGAAGATTCCCCCCCCCCGCCCCCCCAGGGAAGTCTACTCTGTGGCCAAATTGTTTCTTAGACCATTCAGAGTGAAGACAAAAACCCAGTTTCACAAGAGGTGCTATGTAGCAACAGCAATTAAAACATTTCTCTACTTCGGTAAAACCTGACAAAGTTTCCAAAGATGAAAAACTACTCCAACTAGTTCATGCAGATTAAATATTTTCCTCCCCTTAAAAAGCACTTGTACTGTTTTTCTGCAGAAGTATATAATATAGTGCTGCATGTGTTCCGCAAAAGGGGAACTCCTAATTACGGGATAGAAATACCGTTTTTCCTTAGGGAAACGATTTGCTGGTTCTTAAGTAAATCTGACATGTTTCCTTTCAGACACTTTTGGACCTAGTGTCTATAAATGTGGTGAAGTTCATTTCTAATCAGGCCCAAACTAGACCTGTGATTCTTGAATCATGCACAGTGCTCTTGCTGTATTTTTATTTTACTTGGAAAAGAATTCCTAGGTAGAGTTCGTTGTGACTATAAAAATCTAAAAGGAGCCTCATATACCAAAGTATAAAGCTTAAGACTTTCGTGCTCTGCCACAGAGGGCAGAGACGAGTCCCACAAGGGTCAAAAAATTTACCTAGATGTAGGGCAATTAGAAATTGTTACATAGATTCCTATTCTTTTGATCCAAAAAATCCTGCACAGGAAGTGTAGCACTAAACTCACTGGATTACCCAGATTCCACCAAGAAGAGCAAGCGTTAACAATACCCCTTAAACAGCTGGGCACCTTCCCATTGCAAATGAAGTTGCAGGCTTAAAAGATCAACCATCTTTAAATGTAAAACGTTTCTAAAGGAAACAAACAAACAAAAAAACCCGCATTTTTCCGCTTTGGATTTGTGGCTAACTTAATAACCTTAAATTCTATAATAGCAATGTTTTCTTCATTTTAAGTGACCTGCCAACACTTCTGGGCTATTCTTCAAAAACCCATTGTCTGGATCTGTGGGGAACTTAGAAACAAGCTTAAAGACTAATGGGGTAAAGAATGCTTAACAATGGGAAAGTCTCCATGGGGCCAGCACAGAAAGAATTCAGAACACCAAAGAAAAGAACTCTCTGCAACACAGGTATCAGCGTAGGGGACATACCAGTGAGTTTCTCTTACTGGAAATGTTTATATTAATAGTTTAAGTTAAGCAAAGTGCAGTCGCCTCATGCCACCTCCAGAGGGAGAAAACTGCATGCCTTCTTATGTAAAAGGCGCACAATTCATAGTGTTACGAGTTAAATAAAAACTCTGGGCACCTTTCTTACTATCGCAATTCTTGGAAAAGTGTCATGCACACAGGGAGACATCCTGTGGCACGCCCCCTCACCCCCAGGGTCCTGCCCTTCCTTACTTGAACTGGGCTGTGGTGGGCATCCTGAGGATTTCTGCAGCAGTAGCTGGGCAGCTTTCTGGACCGTCTGGAAGCCGTCTGGCATTGTCACATCCTTTCAATGCCACGCCCTCCAAGGCACATTGTCATTTTTAGCTCCCTTTTAGAAACACCAGAGCTTTGGTTGCTTAATCTAGAGCTCTGGGAATGGTGCAGAAGTGATGGGGAAGGTGTCCCTGCTCCCAGATAGGAGCAAGGTCAGGCCTGGGAGAGGGCATCCCCCTGCGACCGCCTCCCCGCGTGGCAGTCCTACCTTGTCGGCCTGGGGGCTGATGGGGATGCCATATCTGCAGTAGGTCACGAAGTGCTCGCAGTTGTTCCAGAGCAGGCTGTAGGCAGTCATACCCAGCAGCTTCTCCGCCCTCCGCGCCACCTCCTCGTTAAGCAGCGCCTTCTTCTGGAGGGACTCGTCCAGGTGATTGACCAGGATGTCGGCTCCGTAGGCGAAGTCTTCCACGGTGTCCACGCGGATGCTGGCCACCTTGCCAATGACGCCCAGGATCAGACGCTTGTTGGAGACCACCTTCTGCGTGCGACCCTTATCGTCGGTCAGGGCCAAGAGGATGTCGGGCATCAGGTGGGCTACCCGGTTGTCACCCAGGTAGATGCCATAGTGGGTCAGGTGGGTCCGGGGCACCTCCAGCACGTCGCCACGGAGGAAAGAGCTGATCTCGTAGAAATTGTTCCTCCCTTTATCTTCGCCCGGGGTGCCCGAACTGAAGAGCCTGAAGTTGGAGACGAGCAGCAGCTTCTCCAGCAGTAGAGACACCACCTCGAGCACTGGGTTCTTCATCCTGCAGGGAAGAGGGAGTCTTGGAGCTGGTACCGCTGCCGTTCGGCACCGGCCGGGCTGGGCAAGGTGAGGTCGCCGACGGGGACACTGTGCAGTTGCTCACCTGCGGGCCAGACGCCCAGCGCGGCCAAAGGTACAGACGCTGCCGAGGAAACACGGAGGAAAGAAAGGGGAGAGCTTGGAGACTGGCTGGGTTAGCCGTACTGGGGACAGAGGAGGGTAACGAACTGGCGGCGGCTGACTGCGGGGACAGCGAGACCGCTGCTAGGCGGGGCGGACCAAGCAGCGTACCTGGGGTGCGCACTGCTGCGCAAAGGCGCGCTGGGCTGAGGTGCCAAGGGCGCCCTGGCCTTTATAAACGCCGTCGAGGGGGCGTGGCCAGTGCCGTCACAGACCCGGCGAGTGCCCTGATTGGGCGCAGCGGCGAGGGCCGCTCCCAGCCGGGAACGCGCGGGGCTCGCGGCTCTTTGGAAGGGGGTGTGGGCTCTGGGGTTCTGTGCGGCCCCCCGTTACCCCAGTCCGCTCCGCCTTCCACTGCGGCCTTGAACTGGTGGATTTAGGAAAGTAAGGGTCGAAAGCAAAAGGCCCTGCACCTGTCCGGGACGGGACGTGGGGCACCTCGGAGTCGTTTTTTGGTGCAAAGCTCCTGGCGAGATTTCTGAGTCGGACCGCGCCACGCAGAAGGGTGGGGTGGGTGCCCGCAGACCCGGTTTCACTGACGTTTGCATTTTCCGTAGGGAGCGCGCTCGGCGGGAAAGCCCGCTGTTCTAAGCCGGTCTCTCGCCCCGAGACTCCCCGAGGCCTCCTGCGGTCGGCGGGCGCACGGATGGCCTCGCTCGCGCCCTGGCGATCGGAGCCGAGCCCTTTCCGCGCTCCGAGGCGGCGGTGGCGGGTGGCGGCGCGGCTCCCA